AAACATCTCAATCTTTCTGTTACTGAAGCATGATCTGAACGATACTTTGAATAAATATGTTCCTTAAACCATGGTATGAAACTTTGATTATGCTCTCGTACAATCCAATTCTCATTTCTATTCGTATTTAAACCTCGAAGAACACCCTTGTGAATTTCAACATACGGCTCAACTTCAAGCTCATTATGCAGAACATACAAATGCACTTGATCCCGTTCGACCATTGATACTGTCACAACTTTATTTCTAATTAGCTTCTTACCTTCTTTTTTTTCAACAACATGAGATTTGGGGAGTCCAATTGATTGAACATTCGACAGATATTCAGTACAAAACTCAACCGCTTCTTCAACAATATATCGTTCAGCAATACAACCCTCTGGTCGACTTCGGTTTTTCACATACCCTTTTAATATTTTCATATAACGTTCAATAGGGTACATCCATCTCATATAAGCTGGTCCGCACAGTTGTGTCTCTTTGACAAGATGAACGATAAGATGAACCATTATGTCAAAAAACGAGGGAGGGAAATACATTTCAAGATCACACAAAGTAACAACTATTTCTTTTTGCAATGTTGGTAAGATCTCAGGATCGATCACCTTGCTGCAAATTGACTTGAAGAAAAAACACAGTTTAGTTATTGTGCTTCTTACTTTTTCTGGAAGAATAGAACGTATACCTATCGGTAGAAAATGTTCCATTATAACATGGCAATCATGCGTCTTTAAACTCTTTAACTTGAGGTCTTGCATAGACACAAGTCTTCTAATATCTGATGAGTAGCCTTCTGGAACTTTAACCTCACTTAGGAACTTACACAATATTTTTTTCTCCTTTCTGGATAGAGTGTAAACAGCAGGTGGTAGATATGTTCGTGTTCCTTTTTTCACGGGTCCTAATTCAGTTCTTATTCCCATCTCTACCATGTCCTCCCTTGCTTTAAGACCATCCTTAGACTTCCCTTTTATATTGAGTAACGTACCAATAACATTGTCAAATACATTTTTTTCAATATGCATAACATCAAGAAAATGTCTTACGTACAAAGATTTCTAATATGGCAATTCAAAAAAAATCGACCTCTTCTTCCACCCACCTGTAACAACTTTATGTGCAAAAGGCTTGCCAAACTGAATACTCACATCTTTCACCTTTTCAAATAATTTATCACCTATCAATCCAGGCGGAGCTCTACGTTGTTCGGTATCTCCGTTGAACGCTTTTCTCCATCCACGATATTGATGTTTAGAATTTAAGAATCTACGATGACCGAGAAAGACATTCTTCTGACAAAGTTTCAATCACATCGTATCGGTTCCATCTTCACAGATAGGACACGCTTTTTCACCTTTAATGCTATACCCGGATAGATTTCCGTAGGCTGGAAAATCGTTAATTGTTCCAAACAACATCGCCCTCAAGTTGAAACTTTCTTTCCTATACCCATCATAAACCTCCACACCGTTCTCCCACAAAATCTTCAAATCTTTGATTAAAGGTTCCAAATATACGTCTATATCATTTCCTGGTTGTTTAGGCCCATAAATTAACATAGATAACATCATGTACTTACGCTTCATACATAGCCACAGAGGTAGGTTATAAATCATAAGAATTACAGGCCATGTGCTATGCGAGATACTTTGAATACCGTGTGGGTTCATTCCATCAGTAGACAATGCCAAGCGAAGGTTTCTTGCGTCTTTTCCAAATTCAGGATAATCATTATCAATTTTCATCCACTGTGGTGAATCTGTCGGATGTCGAAACTTTCCATCAATAATTCTTTCATCTGCATGCCAAGTTAAGTGTCTTGAATCGGTTTCACTATGATACATCCGTCTAAATCTCGGAATTATAGGAAAATACCATAAGACTTTTGCCGGAGACAACTTTTTCTTATATCGAGGGGCACCGCATTTAGGACACTCATTTAACGATGCATACTCGTTTCGAAACAAAACGCAATCTTTTGGACAGACATGTATCTTGTCATAGCTCATGCCAATAGAGTACAACATCTTTTTGGCCTCATACGTTCGATTGTGGAGAACATTATCCTCTGGTAGCATATCTTTCATAAGGGCTAATAATTCTGTGAAACTTTTATCCGACCATCCATTGCCCGCCTTTAAGTTGTACAACTTTAATACCGCAAACAATCTTGTGAATTTTGTACAACCATTATACAACAGTTTCTCTGCATCGCTTACCAACCTCTCGAACATTTTGGGACAATCATTAAGATCTTCTTCAAGCGCTTCTGCAATCTCTTCAACTCGATCATAATCGTATGTATCTGTGCCATTGTCGTTTGAAGCATAGGTCCTATTATCCCCCGATTCATCATTCCCGTCACTTTTCTCACCATGCATATTCCAACATGTATAACTTCTATCAATTCCATACCGTATTAAATGCGATGCCAACTGAACCGCGTCAACTCGATTCCCATAACAGCAACACAAACAAGGACATGTCATTCGACCGGGGTCTTCGGCGTGCGCAACAGCAAACTTAACGAATTCCGATACCCCATTCTCGTACTATTTCGACAATCGATTGGAATACATCCATGTCTTATCCATGGTTTACGGTTTCTGAGTCAATCTGAGCTAAATGATAAATTAGAAAACAAAACCAATACTCAAAACTTGCACTTGCTCTTGCACAACCATATAACAAAACCAATACTCAATACTTTTCACTAAATTCATTTTATTCTATCAACTACTTTAGTACACAAGTATAACACAAGAAACCATAAACAAGAAACTATCATTGCTCAAAATCAATCATAAATTATGTGTGTACTCAAACTCAAAAAAGATAAAATTTTGCAGTTCAGTTGTACTATCAATGGAATGTATGCTACAAGTAATGATGAAAATAGGGGAAATGTACATTTGCATGGATGATTCCTTCATTCTCGTAAAGTCTTTTGACTTCTAAACATATATAGCGAGGCTAAATATTTTGGTTTACAATAGTGCATATAGTACATATTTAACTCATATGTCTGTTATATGTGAAAACTTAGAGATGACATTTACATTGTGTTGTATGAGAGAAAAAATCGTACACACACTCTACAAAACTAAACTATAGAGTAAGCTATAGAGCAGGAAATGAATGGTATTTACTATCTAAACTAAACTATAGAGTAAGCTATGGAGCAGGAAATGAATGGTATTCACCTTGCGTTTCTCCTGTGGAGGTTCTGATGAAAGAGTACTGATGAACGGAGGCGGAGGTCCTGATGAAGAAGAACGGAAACTGCCCCGGTGGTCCTGAACAAGAAGACGGCGGCAGAGGTCCTGATGACGAATAGAAAAGTGGCAAGTGGTGATCGTGACGAAAATCTCCTCGTAGATGCTAACGGCGACAGAGCTCTAGTTTAGGGCTTTGATGATTTCGTGAAGAACAATAGAAAAGTGATGATACGAATTTTTTTATTTTTATTATAAAACTACCTACGAAAGCGCTTTTAAAAGCGCTTTCTAAAGGTCACCTATAACAGCGCTTTTTAATGTAAAAGCGCTTTCGTAGCATATCCTATAGCAGCGCTTTTAAAAGCGCTTTCTAAAGGCCAGCTTTAGCAGCGCTTTGTAAAAGCACTTTCTAAGGCTAACCTTTAGCAGCGCTTTTGAAAAGCGCTTTCTTAAGGTACCCTCTAAAAGGCACCCTTTAGCAGCGCTTCTCAAAAAGCGCTTTCTAAGGGTGACCTTTAGCAGCGCTTTTGAAAAGTGCTTTTCTTAAAGCACCCTTTGAAAGCGCTTTTTTTAAGCGAATTTTTTTTTAAACCTACAGCAGCGCTTTTTCCTAAAAGCGCTTTCGTATGTGTGCTGCTAAAACTTATTTTTGGCGTAGTGAAAACAATCTTCAATTTCCAAAATATTTGTCCATAACCTATAACTTCCTTCCTTATACCCCTACATATTCACCAACTTGCCAATCATATTCATTGTCCAGTTTACAATGTATAGCCCAGAGACATTCGAATCAACCACCCTCTATAAATGATCTTGTTTTGGTTGACCATTATAAATTCACCCCTATGGTGAAAACTAACATTAAAATGTTGCATATCTTGTGAATAAAGTTTCAGATGACAAAAATACTCGGAGTCTTATAGAGAATTCTAGTTAACAGTAGAGGATGAAGAAGGTTAGAAATCACTTACCTCAAATATTATAAGAACCACTTGTTTTTAAATTTCCACTATCAAACCACCTATCATTTATATTCATATTCCAAATATCATGTCCTAGACAAGGTACATTAAAAAATCTTACATTAAAGAAATATGATCTCGATATATATATATATATATATATATATATATATATATATATATATATATATATATATATATATATATATACTATATATATATATATATATATATATATATATATATATATATATATATATATATATATATATTATATATATATATATATATATATATATAATTTTCACTTTACAAATAAAGTTTATAAAAATGAGTTAGACTCGACTACACATTCACATTCCCTTTAAGATATTAGAATTAATTAAACACTATGATTAAAATACGTCTATCATTAATTTCAATAATTAATTATTTCATAATTCTACACAAAGAACATCATTGCACGATATCCTGGCCTGCATCTAGAAAATGTTAAAAGTCGACAGTAGGTTTTCACACAAGTCAACTTCGTCAAAAAGTGTGGACAATTTACTAAGGAATAGTGTTGATATAGTATTACAAACCTCAAACTCAATGAAATAGTTTGGTTAGTTATATATAATATGTGACGTGTGAAATTGATCATTTATTGGTCCTACATCCATAATTTAGTTCTATAAAAACCAAGCACCCGACAAGTAGTGTATTCAAAAGCATCTACTTAGTATGGCTTTCCCAATGTCTCAATTTTCTTAGTTTCTCTTGTTGGTGTTCTCTTTTTCTTTTGCTTTTTGGAGAAGGGTTTTGCCATTGAAGCATCATGGAAGAAAGACACCATCTTGTTCAAATCAACACTCTTTTACCATCATCTTCTTGCAGTTCTTCAACCAAAGGTCTATTTAATTTTTCATGTTAATTCCCCTCTCCCTCGATGGGTTAAGCTTAATTATTGTTGGAGTGTTTTTAACTACATGCATGCTAGAAACTTTTGTTAATTTATTGTTAATCTTTACATCTTCTAATTCCTATTATAATTTAAAAAATAATAATTTTTTTGAATAACTGTTTGGCCTATATATTATCGATCATTTAATTTATTTAAAAATTAGTTATTTATTTATATTAATGATAAGAATATTATAAAATAAATAATTGAAATATAGATTAGCTAGAAAATATATACATGGTAATTAGTAGTGGCATATGGTAAATGGAAAATTAGCTATCTTGATATTATTATTATTATTATTATTATTATTATTATTATTATATTATTATTATTATTATTATTATTATTATTATTATTATTATTATTATTATTATTATTATTATTATTATTATTATTATTATTATTATTATTATTATTATTATTATTATTATTATTTATTATTATTATTATTATTATTATTATTATTATTATTATTATTATTATTATTATTATTATTATTATTATTATTATTATTATTATTATTATTATTATTATTATTATTATTATTATTATTATTATTATTATTATTATTATTATTATTATTATTATTATTATTAATATTATTATAAATGAAAAATTATTATGATTATTATTATTAGTGAAAATTTGTTTTTTGAATAATGATGTATTTGATCTATATGTTAAACTAAATACAACAACTAATAAATTTAAAAAATTAAAATTTTTATTTATAATAATAGTAATAATAATAATTAGAGAACCCACTAATAAAACTTAAATTTATTGAAGTGTGTCAATTTGTTTTAATGGTTGGCATCATTTTGTCACGGGAATATTCACATGGAAGCCACTATACTGTGCTAATGAAAGGTTACTACTTGGTTTGGTTAAAAAGAATGGAACCCACTATCACATATTAAAGATAGGAAGGATAAAGGAACAAAAGCCACCTACCACTCACATATTTCTTATTTCAATTATCAATTTTCTTAATATTAGTAATTAATTTGCAAATTTCTCAAATAAAAAAATTATATTGACACATACATAAATGTAGACAAAACTAATCAAAAATACTTTGATGATAATATAATAGAGAAAATGAGATATACAATCACAACTACGAATTATTGATATGAGATAGTTTAATAATTTATATCTATTAATTAAAAGTGTAAAACTATTTTACATAATTATTAAACTAAATATAATAAGCTTCTTTCTACTTTAATGAGAAATTCTTAATTCAATTCAACTCTGACCATACAGCAGTGTTAATATTTGACCATTTAGTGTAAAATTTTGTCACTAGTATAATACTAGTTCATATTATGTTTTTTTCCCTCTTAGTAAGGACAAAAATGTTAAGTTTTAGAATCACGGGTCATGAAGAACACATTAATTCAATGAATACATATACACTATTTTGACTGAAAGACTCATAACATTCACGGGTCATTGATCACTATTTCAACTTTGTATATACATACACCAAACTCGAAGAATTCATCACTTGTGACATTGAATTTTGTTGACTTATTTATAGTAATTTATAAAATACAAAATTTATTCACGTTTGGCACCAACTCACAATAAGTTAAAAAACAAATAACAAGTGGCTAGTTTTCACTTTTACAACACGTCATGTTTTTCTACCCAAATAAGCTTTGTATAGCTGAAGATATTGACAAAATTTGCCCAAATGATTCAACTTTTCTCCTATTTTCATAGGCGTAAAAGAAACCAAAAAGTTTTTAGAGTTTGCTCAATGACTTAACAAGATGAAGTGCTATTATTTAATATCATAGAGTATAATAGAATTAATCTATTGTTTATGATAATTATTTGTCGTATTAATGATTATTTTCGGTGCTAAATAAGTGGGAAAACTTAAGTTGAAAAATAATATTTTTTTAATAAAAACTATATTAAATTTCATTATGGGGTATTTAGTTATTTATATGTACCTAACTAATAATAGAAAACGGTTATTCTTGAGTATAAATAACTCTCACTTGATATAAATATAATATATAACCAATTAAAGATAAGATTTTGTCTTTGAGTCTCTCATGTATGTTTAAAATATATCTAGATTCCTTTGGTAGAGTCATTTTCATCCTTAGAAAAATTTATGCAAATAGTTTTATTTTATTTATTTTAAATTAATGGTTAAGCAACAATTATTTGACACCACTTAACATGTTCATTCATTTCTGAATTTCAGGTCCAAAAAGCAAAGCATCATTAGATGTATTACACAAACATGGTCCATGTTCCCAACTGAATAATAATGGAAAAGCAAATTCTATTCCAACACATAGTGATATTCTAAATCATGACAAAAAAAGAATAAACTATATTCACTCAAAGCTATTATCATCATCCAATAATAATGACAATAAAATGAAGGAAATAGAATTGGATTCTTCTTCAGCTAATTTACCAGCTAAATCTGGTAGCTTAATTGGATCAGGAAATTATTATGTAGTTGTTGGGCTTGGTACTCCTAAAAAAGATTTATCACTTATTTTTGATACTGGTAGTGATCTCACTTGGACTCAATGTCAACCTTGTCTTAAATCTTGTTATAAACAAATAGATGAAATATTTGATCCTTCAAAGTCTACTTCTTATAACAATATCACATGTACTTCTCCAGATTGTACTCAACTCTCTTCAGCTACAGGTATTTATACATATATATATATATATATATATATATATTTTGTAACATTTTTTACTTTGTTAGTGTAATTAAATTCATTTTATGTATGTTTTGTTATAGGAAATGATCCAGGTTGTGCTTCATTGACAAAAGCATGTGTGTATGGGATCCAGTATGGCGATCAATCTTTCTCGGTCGGATATTTCAGCCGCGAACGGCTTAGTGTAACGTCGACTGATGCAGTCGACGAATTTTTATTCGGGTGTGGACAGGACAACCAAGGCCTATTCGGCGGGTCGGCCGGTCTATTAGGCCTTGGTCGTCATCCGATATCTTTTGTCCAACAAACTTCTGCGAAATACTATAAAAGATTCTCTTATTGTCTTCCCTCCACTTCTAGCGCGGTTGGCCACCTCACATTCGGCGCCACCGGTAACAAGTACGTAAAATACACTCCTTTCTCTACCGTCTCTCGTAGCGGATCCTTCTACGGCCTCGAGATTGCTGGAATCAGCGTCGGTGGAACCAAGCTTCCAATCTCGTCCTCTCTTTTCACCTCCGGTGGCGCCATTATCGACTCTGGCACCGTCATTACTCGCCTGCCGCCTACCGTCTACGCCAGCCTCCGCGATTACTTTCGCAAAGGCATGGCGAGGTATCCGAACGCATCAGCTATTTCGATTTTGGACACATGCTATGATCTTAGTGGGACCAAGATTGTGTCTGTTCCGAAGGTTAATTTTTTCCTCGCCGGTGGTAACACGGTGGAAATCGCGGCGCCAGGGATACTCTACGTGGTGAGTTTGAAGCAAGTTTGTTTGGCGTTTGCGCCCAATGGTGATGATAGTGATATTACTATCTTTGGAAATGTGCAACAAAGGACACTAGAGGTTGTTTATGATGTTGGTGCTGGTAAGATTGGGTTTGGTTACAATGGTTGCAAGTGAAGTTAGTTTTGAATATTTTGATCAATGTATCATTCTTATTAATGTTATTGCATACTAAGACTAAATAAATATGTGGGGGTTGGAATAGAAAGAAAATGGAAGGGATAGAAATGTGGAAAAATTTGTGTAGCATATATAGATTGAAGGGTATATTGATGTGTAATTGCTGGCAATTGTTCATAGATGTGTAATTTGAAACAAGTGTAAGCTTGTTTGTGGTATTATAAGGTTTATTGAATGAAACAAGAATTTCTTGTTTCAAATTATAACTTTAATTATTGATCAAAGAGTCATGATTTTAATTTATTTGGTGGAGTTGTGATGATAAAGTTTCAAGTTCTAACAAACCATATGTTTCAAATTCTTTTGGTCTTTTGTGGGTGATGATGTTTGGGATCTAGATTGTAAGGCTTTTTATTTGGGATACTTTGATATTTAATTCGTTGAAACACTTATTGTCCCTATCCACAAGGTTGATATTCCTAATATATAGCTTCAAAGACTTTAGGCCAATAAGTTGTTTTATTTCCTTCTCAAATGCATTTCTAAGGTTTTAGTTAGAAGGATTAGGCCTCATCTTGACTCCTTGATTGACCCTCATCAAAATAGTTTTATCCCTAAGATAGGTATGCAGATAATGTTTTGATTGCTCAAGAGATCGTCCATCACATGTATAAGAAGAAAGGTAAAACAAACACATAGTAATAGCTTCTTTTTAAAATTTACTTTGAAAAAGATTATGATTGTGTTGAATTGACCTTTTTGAAACATACATTACAAAATTTTGGTTTTTCTCATGTCATCATTAATTTTATTATGGATTGTGTTATTACAGCTACTCTTACCCTAAAGTAGAGTGGTCAGAAATTGAATCCCTCCAAAGATGTCTTAGGGAAGGGGATTAAGTGTCTTTTTATATTTGTTTTTTTGTCTTTGTTTTTTTGTGCATGAAAAGTTTTCTTTGATGATTCAAGAGAAATAATAAGAGAGAAAATGACTCTCATTAAATTATCTTCCACTAATTACTCTTATTCACTTTGCAACTGTAAAATTCAGTGAATACAAGTTGTGTACAATAATAGAGGTTACTCCCTCTATTTATAATTTTTGGTTAGCTTTCTCTCTAAAGCAAAACTCAAAACACAAAAGTCCAAAATACATATTTTGGTTTAAGTCAAAATCATGTGTCAAGCAACCTGCTCCGACACTTCGACATCTAATACAACTCGACACACACATTAGACTATTTCTACACACCCTTATTTCTATCGAGCAATATGCTGCTTCGAAACAAAGGATTACTATCTCAACACACCACCTAATTCATCATGTCTAAGCTATCTAGATTCATCATAGCTCTTAGTCTTCTAAACACTTCAACATGTAATCCCTTCACCATGATGTCTATAATATGATTCTCAGTTCTGCAATGTTTCAAGTTCATCTTCCCTTCTACTACATGCTCATGAAGATAATAGAACCTCATTTCGATGTGCTTGCTTCAACCATGTGCTGTCAGATTCTTCGCTAGATTGATAGCTGACATGTTGTCAATCTTTATGGTAATTGCTCCATGGTCTTTTCTCGTTATCTCTTCGACCAAATTCACCATCCATGTTGCTTGACATACACAAATAGAAGCATTTATGTACTCTATTTCACATGACGATAGTGCCACTATTGGTTCTTTCGTTGAACTCCAAGCAACTGGTACACCATCTAGCATAAACACATAACCAGCTGTGGATTTTCAATCATCGGCATCACTACACCAACTTGAGTCAATGTATCTTACTAGCATTATTTTCCTTTATCGACTGTAGGAAATAAAATTCCATAGTCAGAGTTCCTTTGAGATACCTTAGTACCCTTTTCGTCGCTGCTAAATATGATACCTTTGCCTTCTACATGAATCTTCTCACCATACCTACACTGTATGCTAGATCAGACCTTGTGTGAAAAAGGTACCTTAATGACCCAATACATCTTCTGTATTGGGTTGGGCCGACATCATCTTCATCTGAACCTTTCGACAATTATAATCTTGGTTCAAAAGGTGTCGAAGTTGAGTTGCATTCTTCCATCTCAAATCTCTTGAGAATTTCACTTGTATATCTTCTTTGATGCATCATTAATCTTCTACTGCTATTATAGAATCTATGCCAAGGAAATATGAAATTTTTCTCAGATCAGACATTTCGAATTCCTTGTTCAGATCACCTTTGAAGTCTTCGATCTCCTTCTTGCAGCTACCTGGTTATTAACAAGTCACTGACATAGAGGCACAGTATAAGAAATTCACTCTTGCTTTTTCTTACATATACTCCATGCTCAGTTGTGTAATTCACAGATTCCTTCTCCCTTAGGAAACTATCTATCTTCTTATTCCAAGCTCTTGGAGCTTGTTTAAGTCCATACAAGGATTTATACAGCCTGTACACCTTTATTTCTTAGCCATGCTACACAAATCCAACTGGTTGTGCAATATAAACTTCTTCATCTAATTGGCCTTTTAGGAATTCACATTTCACGTCCATCTAACATACATTCCAACTGTTCATTTTTGCTAGACCAATAACCAACCTGATTATTTTGATTCTAGCAACAGGTACAAAAACTTCATCAAAGTCGGTTTCTTCTTTCTGAAGAAATCCTTTCGCCACAAGTCTTACCTTGTGCCAAGTTACTTCACCTTTGGGATTCAACTTCACCTTGTATACCCACTTGACATCAATTTCCTTCTTGCCTTTAGGTAATTCGACAAGTGACCAAGTATTGTTGACTTTGATGGACTTCAATTCCTCATTCATAGTTTTCACCCACTTCAAATCCTTCAATGTCTCAGTTGCATTGATTGGTTTGACATCTGCATAGAAAGCATAATGTACCAGCTCACCTACATTATCGACCACATCATCTGATATAATCACACATGCCTGAAACCTTGCAGGCATGTGCCATGTTTTTTGAGGTCTTCTTGGGTCTGCTTCACCTCTCACTTCTTCTTGTTGAACTTATTCTCTTTCAACTTCATTGGATGGTTCTTCATAAAAGATTCTCACTGAATCTTTGTTTACATTTTTAGTCCAATCCTATTCCTTAAGCTCATCTATGATCATGTCCCTTCTAATCACTACTTGCTTGTTCATCGGGTCGAACAACTTGTAAGTTCTAGTAGAATGATGTTAGGTTATTGTTTGTTGGTTGCTTTTTGGTAAAACAATTATTTCAACATGATGTTGGACAAGATGTCGTGACATGTTGCTACGATATTGCATCCTGTGTTATTTCTATTTCAGAAAGATCTATTTATGTTATTTCCAGAAGATTTGTTTTGTTATTTGTGGATCAAGTAGTGCATTGAAGATTGGATTTTCTGAAGATTTGTTTCAAAGCTGAAGAGATAACAGAAGATCTGATTTACTTTGTTGGATGTCAAAACATTTTTCCTTGCATTTGAAGATTTTATTAGATATGATTGGAACTGATTTAGTTTGCAGAAGGTTATAGCCAGATTGAATATTCAATCCCAAGAGTTGAACTAGTTTATAAAAGAAGGAGTCTAAACCTTAGAAGATCACAAAGTTGGGGAATAAGGTTTAGTATCTTTTAGGGTTTCATCTGTTCTTTGTATTTGTGATCCTCCCATGTATCACTTTGATACTGAGTTGAACTAATTGTTATTTTTTCATTGTGATTCACTCATGAGCTTTTAATAAAGAGTGTAATCTGTTTTATTAGGAAGTATTTCTTCTGTAAATTGTTCTTATTGTTAAAAATCACATTTGTGTGATTGAGGGAAGTGAGAGGGTTCTCATATCTAGGAGAGTCTTAGATAGAAATATCACATGTATTAATTAGGTGAGAAGTTTATAAAACAAGGGTTGTTCAAAAGTTCAAACTAGTACTAATATAGTGGATTTCCTCTGACTTAGGTGCCCCCAGAGTAGGTGAAGTTGCACCGAATTGGGTTAATAATTGACCTGTGTTTTTACTTCCTGCATCTGTTTAAAATTTTATTTGTTATTTGTTCTGTCAGTAATATAATGTCTTAAAATTAATTTCAACACCATGTTAAGTTATCCTGGTGTTGGGACATCATATTCAACATTTTTCTTGTTGTGCTGGAATTTCAATTGGAGTCAGAGCATGCACCCTGTTTTGTTTTTAGGTGAGCTCCAAGGAAGATATTTTCTAGTACTATAGAAAAGGAAGGAGGATTTACAAATAGACCTCATATTTTGGATGGAACCAATTATGACTACTGGAAAGCAAGAATGACGGCCTTTCTAAAATCTATGGACATCAAAACATGGAAAGCTGTCATCAAGGGTTGGAAACATCTTGTGTTAACAGACAAAGATGAGAATAACACCACTGAATTAAAACCAGAAGAGGACCGGTCTAAATAAGAAGATGGACTTTCTCTTGGAAACTCTTGAATGTTTTGTTTAATGGTTGATAAATACTTGTACTGTAGTCAAAGATGCATTGGAAATTCTCATAACCACTCATGAAGGGACATCAAAAGTAAAAAATGTCAAGACTTCAGCTTCTCACTACTCAATTTATGAATCTCAAGATGAAGGATGATGAATGCATTCATGACTTCCACATGAGCATTCTTGGTATTGTCAACTCTACTAGTGCCTTGGGGGAGAAGATGTTAGAAGAGAATTTGGTCAGGAAAATTCCCAGGTCCTTACCTAAGAAGTTTAATATGAAGGTCGCAACTATTATAGAAGCCCAAGATATATGCAACATGAAAGTGGAAGAGTTGATTGGGTCACTCCATACTTTTTAGTTGGCTGTTAATAATAGATCAAAAAAGAAGAATAAAAGCATAGCTTTTATTTCCAACAGTGATGATAAATAAGATCAATGTGATATGGAAACTTATGAGGGTGTATCTAATTCTATTATGCTTCTTGTGAAGGAATTCAATAGGGTTCTGAAGAGAATATTCAAGCAGTTAAGACCAAATGTCAAGAACATGGCAT